ACACTGAGACGACGTTTTCCCGCCGCTCTCAAAAACAAATACATTTGAAGACGGTGCGTTTGCGTCGCAGTGTGGACAGCGAAAACGGAGACTTTCGAAAACGATGACATATTTTAGTCATGTGATGCAGTCATGTGACCAATTAACCAAAGATAGCAGAGGGCATTATACAGCAGTTGTTTTGTTTGCTCTCAGTTTTGACAGCCCTGTTAAAGATTAATATCAGTCTGTACATGCTTCTCACTCGCTTTTGCAACTTTGTACTTTTGTGTTACTCGCAGCAACAACTCCGCCTCATTGTTAGTCCATTTAAAATACTCGGTGTTTTCCTCTGTGTTTTGCTGCGATGTTTCAACGAACCAGAAAGTAAATAAACGGCAGAAATGAGGCAGGCCAAATCTTCATGCGTTTCATGCAGGACTGGAACGTGAGTGTTTTTGGCTGTTTCAACGTGGACGCACAACTCTGTGAAAACGACTGAAAACGATAGTGTGGATGTAGCCTCAGATTGAAGAGTTACTGCAGGATGTGAGAAAGCCGGGCAGCACAGGACTTCAGGATGCTGGAAACGACATGATTAAGGCCTGCAGCTTTACCTTGGTGTAGTGGCCCCAGTTCTCTCCTCACGTCACAGTCATTTATAAAAGGGAAATTTGTGAGGAGGGTGTGGATGTATGGGGGAGGGAGCATGTAGTGGTGCATTGTTTGGTGGCCGAGGCGGTGTTAAGGTTGGCAATGTGTGAGGAGGGCAACAGGAGGTCCAGTAATGAACCTGCTGATAAACAGATTCAGCTCATTGGCTCTGTCCAGGCTACCCCCCGACTGCTGATCTCTTCAGTTCAGCTCAATTTCAATTCAATTTTATTTACACAGCACCAAACCACAACAACAGTCGCCTCAAGGCGCTTTGTATTGTACAGTAGATCACACATTAATACACACAGAGAAAAACCCAACAATCATATGACCCCCTGTGAGCAAGCACTAGGGCGACAGTGGGGAGGAAAAACTCCCTTTTAACAGGAAGAAACCTCCGGCAGAACCAGGCTCAGGGAGGGGCGGAGCCATCTGCTATGATTGGTTGGGGTGAGAGAAGGAAGACAGGATAAAGACATGCTGTGGAAGAGAGACAGAGATTAATAACAGGTATGATTCAGTGCAGAGAGGTCTGTTAACACACAAGAATGACAACCCACAGGTTTATTTCGGAGGCCTTGAAGGCCACGGCAGAGGCCGATGCTTCAGAGTATGAATGCGTATGAATGTATGTTAGTTAGAAAGCGCTGACAAAGCATAGACAACAGTGCTTGCATGAATGCGTGTTGTATAGAGCACTTTGAGCACTCCAGGAGAGTAGAAAAGCGCTATATAAGAATCAGTCCATTTACCATTTACCAAAATTTAAACTACAAAACTTACAGTGTTCACAGGTACTCAATGTTTGCCCCTCTGGACGCATAGCAAATGTCCTCATGACAGTTGTCCCATAGTTTTTCAAGCATGTCTGAAGTCACAGCAGCCACTGATGTTGTTATGCTGCCTACTGGCAACCGTGGGAAACTCATGGAAACTCGTAAATCTCCTGTTTAACGATTTAAAACACAGTCGGTGTTTTCAATGTCATTATCAGTGAACAACTATAGAATTCAAACGCTTTGAAATCAGATTATTCTTTTGATACACACTGAACTGTATATTCTGCTGCCAGGACCTCAAGAGCTTTAAAAGTAAGAAATAAAATCTTAAAATCAACTCTAAAGCAGATGGAAAACCACTGTAGAGTCATTAAACTGGTGTAATATATGGAGAAGTCCTGCTCCTGCATTTTGAACAGTGTGAAGTCTATTGATGGGTATTATTTGATATTGTGTTCAAATAATTAAAATCTTACTCTCAGCTGATTCGTCCATTCTAACCATCATCATCTGGCCACTTTGAAGAATAGTGTGTGTGTGTGTGTGTGTGTGTGTGTGTGTGTGTGTGTGTGTGTGTGTGTGTGTGTGTGTGGAAGGTGGCTTGCTGTAATCTTCCGTTCATGGTTGAATTGGTAGGCTGGGGCCTAAATGGACATCTGGTAGAAGTTACTGCTACATCAAAAGAAAGACCCTGAGACCCAAGAGGCTGAAAGTCTGCACAGTCCTGCTTTCACTGACTGTTAGTTTGTTTCTATGTGTCCTCATTGCATCGAAGCTACTGACAGTGATAACTTGTGTAATGCTTTCCCTGGACACACGCACGCATGCATGCACGCACGCACGCACGCACGCACACAATGGTAGTAAACAGTGCAAAAGTTTGCTTATACAGACATAATAAGCACAGATGTAATGTCTCCACAGATAGTTTGAGATTAGGATCTGAGATACTTCTTTAAAGCAGAGGAAATCAGATAGATACTACTTTGATACAAAGAATCAGTTTTATGTTTGTCTTTTTAAGAAGCAAACATTGCGTTGTGTTTTGTGACCTACTGATTCTGCATTTTGTTGTCCTTTGGTACCGACAGCAGAGCTACGCTTTCGCTAGAAAACTCAAATCCCACACAAACAAAAGTACATTATGCCTACAATAAAGCGCTAATGATCCAACAACTGGGATATACTTTCCAGGATGCCTATCACAATGTAGGGGCCAAAGGATAAGGAGCCATTAAAGCTGTGTTATCTGTTCCAGATAGCGTTGGTATGTCTGTAAAGATCATTATTTTTGCCCCTGCAGCCACTTGGCAAAGGGAGCAGGACTATCCACACACCCAGGATCAGCTGTAAACCATGGATGAAGATGCTAACAATATGCAGGCTTGGAGCGAATCCGTTTTTGAAGGTTCTTAATAGCTGTTAAAGCTCACGAGTGAAGGGTTCTGCATCGTAGTTTTTCTTTATGCTTTGTAAGGTCAGTGAAAATGTCAAGGACATGTTTCTACTGCTCTCAAGGTTACATGTGTTCAGGAGGAGGGAGGGCAGTGCAGATCCCACTGAGAGCGTCTTACACTGTGATTAGAAAAGACTCTGGAGTAAAACGAGGTGTTTAAACAGTCTCCAAAAAAGAATGGGTGCTACCTAAAATGTAAATAACAGAATGCAGACAATGGTACAGAAAACACATCAGTCAGAAATTTTACTTAAAAAAATGCTGCTTTTGAATTTGATAACAGCATCATGTACAGTCTTATGGCACAATAATCAAGTAATAACTATTACTTATTTCTTTATCTTCAAACACTAATGCATTTGTCTTTAAACTGCAACAGCTCAATTCCTCACTTAGCGACACTGTTGTCAAAACAACAGTTTTAATTGTGCTCTAATATGTATACGTCGTCTTTAGGTTTAAAGCAATTTGCAAATTTAAATTTATTTTATTTGGTTTAATCCAAACTTTTACTGAGAAAAGGGTTTTCAAAAATATGCAAAAGACACAAGTGACTTTATCAAGGTTAACCAAGGGGTTAGATCCACTCACAAAGAAAAAGCGTGTTACACTGTGTTAGTGGTTACACTTTCCTTAGAGGGGCTGAAGCTAAGGAGAGAGAGCAGGTCACCTACTGATCGGTGCTTCGATCCCTGGCTCCTCCAGTCTGCATGTCAAGTATCCTTGGGCAAGATACTAACCCCAAGTTGCTCTGCGATGCGTCCATTGGAGTGTGAATGTGTGTGAATGTAGTTAGAAAGCACTACGTATAGAGAAAGTACTTGTGAGACTGAGTGTGACTGAGTGAATGTGGCATGTTGTATAGAGCGCTTTGGCTACGTTCACACTGCAGGCGAAAGCGCATCAAATCCAACAAATGCGACCATCTATCCGATCATGCTATGACAGTGTGAACGGCACAAATCTGATATTTTCAAATCCGACCTGGGTCACTTTCATATGTGGTCCTGAATCTGCGTTTGCTGTCGCATTTTATTTGTCGTGTGAACGAGCACACACACACACACACACACACACACACACACACACACACACACACACACACACACACACACACACACACACACACACACACACACACAAAAATCGGATTTGAGCATTAAGACCCAGAGTGAACGTAGCCTTTGAGCACTCCTGGAGAGTAGAAAAGCGCTATATAAGAATCAGTCCATTTACCATTTAAGTTGTTGCTATTGGTAAGAGGTGATTGGTTGTTTAATTGTGATTTCAAATGTTTTTATTTATAATGATGATTATAGAACTCCACACCAAACCTTTCCCGAGTTAAGATATGACATCTTGGAAAATATACAAAATCACAAAACCAGCATTCATCAACATTTGAATGGTGCCGACCATCACTGAGTTCCTCTTCATCATCACCGACACAAACAACATAGACAGTCCAATAATAATCAGCATCGAGATTCAGGGCTGAACATCTGACTTCAGATAAGTTGATAAGAGCACTTAGCATCTGTGAGTAATTCTTATTGGTGCCACACTTAAAAATAAAAACACTATAACGTCTCCATGTAGAGCAGAGCAGCTTTAACATCATCAAAGATTTTCTCTCTTTGTCAGATTCAGTTAGCTTAACTGTAAAGTCATGGAAACATCTGTGAAGTCCAACTTCACATCAAATAATTTACCTTTCCAGATGATCCTAAACTGTCAGTGTTGTTGAGGGCTGCAAGAGTAACATGTAAAAGAAGCTTTGTTTTTTCTTTTGCTCCATGAAACATAATCAAAATAGAAAAATTTGACACAAAAAACAAAACAAAAACTCACCTAAGTGGAAAAATGTAACTGTCAACCAAAGCTCTCTGCTCTTAGGTTGTGTGACCCGAACATCAGAAGGAGCAAAGACAACAAACCGATAACTGCACTTCTGATGACTCGTATATCATAAGCTGTAACACGGCACAGAGAACAGCTTCATTCCTGAGGCTGCTTTACAACTAAAGCTGCATCTTTGGGTTTGATACTGAACCCTCACTGCTTCAGCAAACACTGTCAATCAACAGTCAAATCAATAGGAAACAGAAGAAAAACACCATAACCACTGGTTAGACAATAAAACTTTATTACATTTGTGTTTAAAATTATTACAATTATAGTATTTACAGGCATTGTCCTAAAAATAAGATTCTCATGCTGGATGACACAAAAAGAAATCATTGTACAAGCAAGCAGAAATGAATGTACATCCACAATTTACAGATTAGAGAAGCTTCTTCCTGTCGTCCTGCTAACGGTGCCATGAGCTCAGATGGGGTTCATACAGAAAGATGAGATGTTTTCCTCTCAGCTGACGAGGACAACGTCCCACTGTGGGAGGAAGGCGTTGTGGCCATGTGTGAGTGAAATGACTGAAACTATCCATGTTCAAAATTCTACAAACCACTTAAACATCCTCGGTGTCCATGAGTATTTCACTTTGACTGGAGGTTTTTAATAAAAGAAAAGCCGTCCCCACCTAAAACAACATAACCCATCACAGAATCATAGTGGCAGCGTCCCAGTCCAAAATACTGCATTTTAGGAACGGCGATAACTCTTGTCAAACCATGGAAATATCTCACACTTATAATCCTGTAACACTTAGTTTTTCTTATAGAGGTTTTTACACACTTGTGGGCTGCAGAAGGAGCTGACATGCTGTACTATTCCCCAATAAATCTTTTGACTGAGGTGTTAGCAAACAATTGCTTATTTACACATCCAGACATGAGGCAACTTCAGCAGCTGGATGTTTGTCCACCTTATTCAAAATGTCCAGTATCAAGTCCACAATTAACCTTCATTTTTACCCTGGTTAAGTCTGACATATCTCCCTTCCCTGTTTGCTCTGCTAATGCTGCATGGGCAGCATAAAGGTAAGTGTTTCTCACTTGACTGTTTGTCAGGTTTGGAGTTTCAGGTTTCTGAAAGGATCCATGCAAAGCCTTAAAGGACGTATGACAGAAGTCTGTAGCCTGAAAGGATGTCCATGGACCGACACACGCACTCCCAAAAGTATTATTTTGTCACACTTGAGACAAAATGGATGGATTTCATACTTTTATACTCAGTTCTTCAGCACACAGTTTTAGTGATTGACGATATCCGGGTCGAGTTCAGATTCAATCACAGACTGTTGAACTGTGCAGTGCAGTTGGGTGCGATGGTAGGTGGGACTAGTCTTTTTTAAAAGAGCAAACAATGCCAGCAGTTGGTTAAAAATTCCTTTTCAGGCCAGTATTTGTTGGTTGGTGGGAAAAGGCAGCATCCAAAAATGTTTTTCACACGATACATTTTGTTGTAGGCTTCCAGGGCTTTTCCCTGCCACGGCGTCTTTATGGCTATTCTGTACAACAGTGTGTTTGCCCTCTCAGGGAGTCTTTCTTACGTATGTACACGTGGGGAACATGGACAGGAAGGCATTAGCACTTTTTCTGGAGTTTCTCCCACTCTTCCTCTTCTTCCATGTTGGCCTGTGAAGGTCAGCGGACCTGGGGAGCATAGCCCTCCTTCATTAGCCCCTCTTCATAGTCTGTCTGGCACAGAATCATGTTGTTCTTCAGGAAGAACTTGTCTCCAACACAAAACCTGCACAAAGAGAAAAGAAGGAGAACGTTCACATCAGAGCATCAAAGTTTCATTAATGTGAGGCTTTAAACAGGCCAAGCTTCCTGACAACAAACGCTTCTCCCTAACTACTGTATCCCAACACTGTCCTTTCAACAGCAGTGTTGGGACTATGGTTGGAGATGATGCAGGGGCTGGTTTGAGTGTTTGTGTGTATGCATATGTTTATCTCCAAAGGTTGATTCTGTTCATCTGGACGCAGCGTTTTGTGGGAGAAACGTTTCGTCATCTCGACTCCTTCAGTCTCAGCTGACTGCAGGTTTCCCCAAATCTTATAAACAGCACATTTGCATAATGACTGAAACCAGCCCACTGAGGGAACAAATCTCATGACCATTGACCAACAACCATGAGTCCCATTCACAGAGAGTTGGGGAATGGCTCCAATCACAGCATTGTAAGATGATGACAGATGTACCCTTAGGCCCCTCCTCCATTCAGAGATGGTCTTTCCCTCCTTGACTCCGCCCTCAAACCAGCGTTCCTCCCTGTCCAGGATGTGCACGTCCTCATCATTGAACGAGTGTCCACTGGCCTGTAGGTGTGAATAGACTGCAGAGTCCTGGCCTGACGAGGTGGCTCTTCTGTGTTGTGCCGTCCGCTTCACCAGAGGTTGTTTTGGTCATGAGAATTGTTCCTTCAGTGGCTGGTTTCAGTCATTATGCAAATGTGCTGTTTGTAAGATTGGAAACCTGCAGTCAGCGGAGACTGAAGACGTCACCTGATGATGACGAAACGTTTCTAGGAGATTTTTAGGAGATTTACTTAATGACTGAGGATGCATCAAGATGCATATGTTTATATTTACTAATGGAGTGTTTAGTGTATCCTAACTAGATTATCTGTGTTTCTGGCCAGGGTTCCTTTACCCTTGCAGGAGAAACAAAACCCCACTGACCCAGGCAGCCCCACCTTCCTGTGCCTTGTTGTTATGGCGTTATTTTTGTGCCACTATTCTGAGCGCACGTAAAAACTATTTGCAGGTGCAAGTGTTGTATTTGGAGGAGAAATTTATTTTGAGTGAAGAAAAGCTGAATTTGAGTGAACAAAATTCATTGCTGCGTGCAAAAAATGTATTTCAGTGTTTGCTGTTATCCACACACACACACACACACACACACACACACACACACACAACAGCAGCCCCTCTCGCTCAGTTTTTGCATTTGCGCTCGCTCGCAATGTGTCGCTCGTACTCTCAACATTTCTGCCCGTGCCTTCAACTCTTTCTCTACACCGTTATATTTGTGCCACAAAACCAGCCAATCACAGACTTGGATGCAAAAACATCTGATTGGCTGTTCTGGTCTCCAATCAGCTCGAAATGACGAAATGCAATATCCCAGAATCCATTTCGTCCAAAACTCAAACGAGGCAGTGGCGGAGGAACACAGAGGGGCGGAGTTTGAAATATTACTCTGTCTGGGTCACAAAATAAACTTTTAAGATATTTTCATGTGAGAATGTTGCTGTGTAAACAACACATGGCGAGCGAGTGCAAATGCAAAAACTGAGCGAGAGGGGCTGCTAGTGTGTGTGTGTGTGTGTGTGTGTGTGTGTGTGTGTGGTGTGTGTGTGTGTGTGTGTGTGTGTGTGTGTGTGTGTGTGTGTGTGTGTGTATAACAGCAAACACTGAAATACATTTTCTGCACGCAGGAATGAATTTTGTTGACTCAAATTCAGCTTTTCTTCGCTCAAAATAAATTTCTCCTCAGAATGCAACACTTGCACCTGCAAATAGTTTTTACGTGCGCTCAGAATAGTGGCACAAAAATAACTCCATATGTTGTGAGAGGGCAATGAAGGTTATGATGAACATGTAAGAGCAGTACGTTTTGTTGTATTGTCCTGAGGGCTGCTTATCTCCCTCAGTGTGCAGGCTCACCAAAGTCAGCAAGCTGCAGTGCCGTCTTTACCAGGGGGGAGTGGAGCTGGGATGTGGGGAGTGGGGGGGGGCAGTGAGCCTCTGACTTCCTTTAGTGTTAAGACTGCTGAGTTCATTGCTGGGACCTCCACACAGTGAGTGGAGCTCGGGTACCTGACATGACCCACCTGTATGCAGGAGTTATTCAGGGCTACATTGCAGGTTCAGAGCATAATTTCTTACATCCACCTCAATGGTAACTTTAGTTACAGTGATTCAAACACACTGTACGAGCACAAACAACAACAACAACAACAACGACGACCCCCACTCCCCATCCAAAACTGCATTTTTAAATTCACCCTGATCACCCTTCAAGCCAAATGAACACACGATGGTAAAATGAATAATATTGATTTTGAGAACAAAATATTTTGGAATAATTCTGGAATTCAATTCAGTTTTATTCATACAGCACCAAATCACAACAACTGTAAGGTAGACCCTGCAATAATACATACAGAGAAACCCAACAGTCATATGACCCCCTATGAGCAGCACTTTGGCGACAGTGGGAAGGAAGAACTCCTCCTGAATGGTGCAGGGGGGCGGGGCCATCTGCTGCGGCCGTTTGGGGTGATTTCAGTTATAAATGGGAGGGCGGGTCTTCCAGGAAGCAGTCAAGTCACTAAGGCTGCAGCAGCTGGTGTGGATCAAAAGAAACAACTACAACTGGGCAACGACCAGTGAGGGGTAATAGCTACGATGCCAGATGTTGCTGTTGAGACCTCAGGGGCTTGAAGACAGAAGACTAAAGATGGAGAGATGGGCCTGATAGCCGCAGTGAAGTGGTTACCCACGTCTCGTTCAAGACACCAGGTAGGAGAGCAGTGCTGATTACTCAAGTGATTGTACCTTCAAATCCTACAAGCTCTAATTAAAAAACAAAATATTTTATGCCTGTCAAACTGTTACCTTTCGTTACCTGTTACACTTGCAACTATTTCATTTTTACGGTCGTTTCAGGCTTTTCCTCTTCTGCCAGCAACGACATATTAAACATTGAATTGTTTTACACACTGGCTGCACATGCCCAGTTACCAGCACAGGCACAAAGTGACAGAGACCTCTTATTGTCTGTTAGCCGGTGTCTCTGCTTAGCTATGCTGTCTGTTTTTTCCCTTCCACCACATCAGAGTGGAGCCTCCACCTTTATCAGCACTGGCCTTCTCCCAGACTGTCATCAGGCCTGCACTCCTTTGCGCCTTGCTAACTGTAACCTTCCCGAGCCTCTCTGAGCTGTGGCCTTGACTTATTGGAGAAACTGGGCCAGCACAGGAGAGATGATGAGACTTGACAACAGCCCCATTGATTAGCTGTCCCCCAGGGCTGATCTGTGGGTAACTGCTTGCTGGATGAAGCCTCATATCTCCTTCCCTATTCTTTACACCCAGTGTTGCCAACATCTTTTCTCTCCTCAGAACCAGCTACGTGTCTTGTTAGCTCTAGGACAGCACTATTGCTGAATGATCAGATCCACTGTGGGGATCCTTTGTTTTCACTGATAGACCTCGTACTGCATCTAGTCCCCTTTAGTCCCTCAGCTTGATGTCATTTTAAAGAAATTACTTTTCCTTGTGACAAACATGTTATGCCTGAAGTGGGTTCAGCTGCAGATCCTTTTTTCATGGAAAGTGCGGCTGTCAGTTTAACAATGGTGATGACTGTTACCACCCAGCAAGACCTCCTCCTGAAACTGCCCGTGTGGGTGTGGCCTGCTGGCTCTCCTGCCTTTTTGCACAGCTGACTCCCATCAGCAATTAGAAGTATTTAAGGCCAGAGAAAGGTGTGCTAAAGGGGCAGAGAGCCATATTGGTGGTTGCAGCTAGTGAGCTGTGCGTGTGGGTTTGGTGGGAATAAGGTTAATATTAAATAAGTTCTCTAATCCAGTCTCTACATCTTTGCTCTGCACTAACAGCCCCATCACATAAGCATGGCCCTTTAACAGTTAAACATGGCAGTGGCCATTAGAGTCCTGCAGTGAGATGTGTATGAAATCAGAGTAATGACTGACTTTGAGTTTTCTGTCTTTAATCTGTGGGATACAGTGGGCTGGGTGTACTCACAGACCTACTAATGGCATGAAGACATGCCTGAATGACTGTGCATGAGTAGCGGTACATCCAAACCCGGGTGTAGGAATTCAGCTTTAAAACTTCAGCATAGCCTCTAACTAACCAGTCTGCAGGACTGGGGAATAATTAGACTTCATAACCTCGAATGATCTCGGTGTCAGCTTGTTTATTTATCAGATTTCACATGTTCTGGTGCACCACTGAGACATTTCTGGGTCATTTATAAAATTGCTTTATTGAAGGGTCCATGGGTCAAGGGGACTTTCATGTTTGATGGAGGCGATAAAATTGATATAAGTGAACAGTGCATCAGATGAGCGTGCCAGACACAGAACAGTAACACATCTCCATGCTGACAATGCAAAGAAACTGTTCAGAGAAACTTCAGTAAGATGTCAGAACAGATCTCAAGCTGAAAAAACAAAAGGTCACCCAGTTAATCCAGGTTTATGCTTCAGAGACCAGCTAAGACCAGACTTTAAAACGTGTTACCAGTTAGTGCTGACCTCAGCATTGTTGACTTATAGACTTTTAGACGACAGAAATCACAACAACAGGCAGGCAGGAGCTTTATATGTAAGGTAGTCTCTACAGTAACACACTGTTGAAAATTGTTGATGCTAAAATAACAGCCTACCTGTAGACGGGTAGAATATTTTTTGCTTTGTCATTGTGGTTGGCACTGTCTTTTTCTTTGTTTTATTTTGGTAGTTTTTAGTTTTAATGACCTTTTTTCTCTTAATTATTTTAGCTGTGTTGCCCACCTGTTTCCTCTTCTCTTGATTAGCCTCGTTGTGTCTCGTTGTGTTTTCATGCATCAAACTGTTCCCCGTGTGTTTCTGTGCTTCTGTTACTTTTGTTATTTTTTCTGTTATGTTTCCATCAGCCAAATAAACGGGTCGACTCTTGTTTTATCAAGTCTGCCTCTGAAATTTGAATTTGGGTCCTTTATTCTACACACAACATGAGAAGAGGCATCTAAATGGTGCTTTCAGTCTACAACATACATGAGACACACTACTTTTATTTGACAGTTTATGAACTGCCCTAATATAAAGAGGAGATATGTACGCTGGCTTAAATGTATTTTAATGTGGGAGAGAAGGGCTGACCTGCCCGGGTCTGCTGATGTCTGAATGATGTCCAGAAAGTAAATGATCAGGAAACTTTCTGCAGAAAACCTGGTCTCAGATCAATCCCACTTTAGGTGGAGCAGCTCTCATTTCTAAAGCATGTTAAGTATCCAGAGTTGGGACCAGGATGCAGACATTTGGTCCTCCCTGCTGTCATCCCCCTCCCCACAGAGACCCCAGACCATTAAAAGACAAACCTAAAAATCAGTAAAATTTAAATAAGTGTAAAAACAAAAATAACACTCAACTGCATTAAAAATGAAATGTTGTGTGCCGGGGTAGTGTCCTGTATTTATGGGAAGGCGGTCGATTTTGCCACTTTAGAAACGTGCTAGAGAGCGTCCCCACCATGAATGGTCCCACTCATACCACAATGAGTTTATTCATCTCCACTGATGTTAAAGTTGCTGAGGTGCTTTTTCTGATTTGGAAATATTTTACAGCGTTTGCCTGGGAAAATATTGTCAGTGCATGTGCTGATGTAGCTATTAACCACCGTTTCATATTCCTGTAAATCAGAACTGCTCTTTTTTAAGGCAGCAATCTTAAACACACCCGAGTTTGTGGCATTGAAGCCGTCCTAAAGCACCAAATCAGTGTCTTCACTCCAAACTTTAATATTTTATTTACTGGAGGGGCTGTTAGAGGAACTGCCTGTATCAGAGGAACTATAGCTGGGTTTGGGGCACAGCCTTCTCATGTTGCTACAGAACGCTGACGGGACTTTGAAAGCACAGTCAAGAAGTTGTAGTTGTTAAAACAACAAACATGTGGGTGAGCAGTCTCATGTTTGGTGATAATGTCAGGCTACTGCAGGATGTAAACAGGAAGTACAGACACAGCACTGAAGTCCCTCAGTAAATAAAAAGGTCTGCACTTCACCATCAGCATTTTGATGTTTGCTCAACAATCTCCACCACCTGAATATCCACACACCATCTCTCCTTAACATAAACTGATACACCTTCACCTTTATTTGCGCTCAAGGCAAGTGTGTCGTCTCCACAGTGAGTGGAGTGGGTCTGTAGATAGATGGCTGAGTCTGGCACACTTGCAGCAGTCCAGGTTTTTGTAAAAATGACAGGACAACACTGGTTTCATGTTGGAATCTTTCCCTGGTTCTTCGCTCCATCTTGTTTTTGAGAGAGCGGACATTAGCTAACAAAAGGCTACAGGCAGCGGTGGTCATGTGGCTCTCGTGTTTGGTTCAGCCCACCTGTTTTGCCACACCTCTGTCTTGAGTGCTGTTATTGATGGCTGCTCTGTGTATTTGAGCTTGGAAGTGTTACGACCCGGAGACCACTCCCTGAAGAGTCACGTTGTGATCGATTGTACGAGCGGCTTGTACTTTTGCTTGAGGAAGATTAAGCTGTGTTCAGATTTCTCCAGTGTGGGGGGAGCAGGCCCACGAGATGTCTGGTCTGTGCTTTACGGGCTCCAGGCCCTTTGAGCCCCAAGACTGGGAGTCATCTGCACACTCCAGACTTACCCTTTGTTGTGGGGGAGGTTTTAGGCTGCATTGGGTAGGGCAATACACATGGCTTTGCTGGCTGTACTGCATGGTGACCTGCCTCTTCTTTTTAATTACACTGGTGGTTCTACGGCCATGGAGGATGGGGTTGGCCCTCCCCATCATTCCCTATTGGATGCTGCTGCCCTCCCTGGGATGTTTGTTGGTTCCAGGGCACGTGGCTGGATGTTCTGATGTGGCTGTTGACCTTGGGGGTGGTGGCTTGGGCCTCTTCTGTGTTGGGGAGGGTTCTTGGGCACCTGGAGTCCTGGGGCCCTGTTCTCAACTCACACCAGGGTGACTGGACTCACCCTGGGGAGGCCAGGGTTGGCTGGCGGTTGCCTCTGGCTCTAAGGGACTCTCAGCCAACTGGATGGACGTGCAGTTGTTGCCGAGATGTGTGGCTTCAGGTCTTCAGTACTCTTGGGGGCTGCGCATGGCCTGGATCTTTCTCTTTCTGCCTCTGGCTCCTGGGGGGCATTACTGCGGCTTCCCACGCTGGTTATAAATTACTTTTCATGACAAAGACACATACACACACCACAGGGAGACAGTTGATTTGTCTATCTGAACATTTTCATATTTTTGTCTTCCAGATGCTGTATGTTCATTGCCATACAGCCTCTGGTTGGAGTCTCAGTTGCCTCATGTCTGCCACTAGACTTGTAGTCAAGACCGCCTAAACCGAGACCAAGTCGAGACAAAAAAGTTTTTAAACTGCAGCCAGGTGCTGCTTCGTTTCTGTGTTTCAGGCATATTTATGTGTTCTTGCTCTCGCACAGCCCTCCTCACCGCTGTCTCACTCACTGAGAGGACAGACGCTCGCTCCACTTGACTGTAGCGTCCATCACCCACATGATGATATTATCCTATATCCTCGCATGTGATTGGCCACAATATGGAGGGATTGGAGCATAGCTGAGCCACTGTGTGAGAGCTGAGCAGCCAAAGGAAATTAAGTGAGGAGCAGCTCTCGTTCAGTGGGAGTCGACTCTTCTGATTCACTACAAAGCGCTCTGTAAGCACGTCTCCTACAACTGATGCTTTTGAAATGACACATCATCGAACGTTACGTCGTGTTCATGGACACTGTTGACTCCAGAGGCGGAGCCAGACATTTTATACACCCGGGGCGTAGTATGCATGGTGGGACTAAACCCCAATTCAACCAGACCAGACCCAGAACTGATCCAGAATTAAAACAGGACTACAACAGTTCAAAATCAGGACTGCTTATGACTTAACCGATACAGAACCAGAATCAAAACTCGATGATAGTAGCACTAAAAATCACCATAGACCTGCACTACACTTATTTTTTAATTCTACCAAAGTACACTATTTAGATTCAGAAAGGTTTATATAATTATTTAGCCTTGTTGTGCAAACAAGCCTGCATAACTTAATACAGCGGTTCCCAAACTTCTTTTGCTAGGCCCCCCTTTTGTTTAACAAGAAAAATGTTGTCAAGAATGTGGGATACTGTTTGTCCGTGATTTAAACAGCCCAGCGCTGCTCCCGATGAAGGGAAAAGCAATCCTGCAGGGAGACCTACCTCGGCACGTGCAGCTGAGGCCAAAGGGCAGATATGCTTCACCATATTTTCTAGTCTTTGGCTTAGAATGAAGTTGGTTTGGTCAGAGGGCCCGGTGGCGCCAGTGTCCGGCAGCCTTGCCTCTGTCAGTGCGCCCCAGGACGGCTGTGGCTACAATGTAGCTTCATCACCAGTGTGTGAATGTGTGTGCGAACTGGTCGCACTCTAGAGCCCTGAATAGGAGAGGCTGAAGACTGACGTGGCAGAACAATTACTCAGTGCAAACTGTGTATAACTAACTTCTTTTCCTTTAGGATGCTTAGTATGTCTGGTTTGTGTGTGCATGTGGCTACAACAAAGCTATTTGTGGAAAAGCAACAAGTGAATCATAAGGACCTTGGAAACAGATACGATACACTTCACATACTTATGGCAACATCCTGTTTTTGCCATTGCCTCCAGAAAGTGTCTTCAGAAACCCTCCACTGTTTCCATAATCGTAATGAAGTTCTGCGAAATGAAACCTCATGGGCTCCCCTGAACGTTCAATACTCATATGCATGTCTCATGAGTCTGTGTATGACTGTTCAACAAATTCCAAGGCTTTTTGGACCAACTGCATCACCACTCAGTCATCTTCTGATCTGAGTAGATAAAACTGTGAGCGTGTTTCCTGTGGCCTCTGCCATCCCACAAAAGAGAAAACGAGGCGAATTAGAAAATACTGAAAACTGTTCAGTTCTTGTTTTTTAAATGAGTTTAAAAAAACTATAGCAATTCAATTAAACCAATCTCTGCTAACTATGATGTGTTGCTATTGTTCCTTTTTGTGCATCTTGTACTGAACTGCAGTACATTGTAACAGTGTACAGTGCCTTGCTATCCTGACCAGCTATTTGTATGAGTACAGATATGAGAAAAGAGCAGAAGTTTGGTCCACTCACCTCTGATTGCAGAGCTGGCATGCGAAGCAGTCCAGGTGGTAGACATTTTCCTTGGCCCTCATAACCATCTCGAAGGCTGGGATTAGCTTGCTGCAGGCTGCACAATTCCCCGTTACACCAAACAACCTGAGGCACAAATGAACAGATGCAAACAAAAATATGTGTGTAAGTTATCAAATTAAGGAATCAGTGGAAAACTCCTTATATATCTAACTTAGCAATTGGCCTCAAAACTGTTTTCTAATTCGTGCCTGCTTTTATTTTTCATACTTTGTGCATTAATTCAAGGATAATTGTAGTGTGAGAGTGCTGTTGAGCCAAGCAAGTAGTAATGACTTTATGAACTTCTTCACAAATAAACTTTTAATCATTACAGAAAAAAATTAACCGTCTCACCGACACATTATTACTTTCAATAGCACTGACATTTATTTAGACTCTTTCTCAGATCGATCTTTCTGAGTTAACTTCAGTAATTATTTCCTCCAAACCATCAACGCGTCTTTTAGACCCCATTCCTACAAAACTGCCCAAAGAAGTCCTGCCATTAAATATGACAGTCTCTCTATTAATAGGCTACATATCAAATGCCTGGGAGCAATAATAAAACCTTTACTCAAAAAGCATCTCTAGACCCAGCAGTTTTAGCTAATTATAGGCCAATCTCCAACCTTCCTTTCATATCAAACATCCTTGAAAGAGTAGTTGTCAAACATCTAACAGATCATCTGCAGAGGTTTATTTGAAGAGTTTCAGTCAGGTTTCAGAGCTCAGCACAGAAACAGCTTTAGTGAAGGTTACAAATGATCTTCTTATGGCCTCTGACAGTGGACTCATCTCTGTGCTTGTCCTGCTAGACCTCAGTGCAGTGTTCGATACTGTCGACCATAATATCCTATTAGAGCGATTAGAACATGCTGTAGGTATTACAGGTACTGCGCTGCAGTGGTTTGTATCATATCTATCTAATAGACTCCAGTTTGTATAAAAATATTCTGTCTCAGAGCGATGCTGAAAAACTAGTTCATGCATTTATTACTTCTAGGCTAAAGTGTTATACCGACTCGCTTTGCTGAATAGTGATATATCAGGATGTCCTAAAAACTCCTTGAAAGTCTTCTGTTGATCCAAAATGCTGCAGCTGAAATACTGACAGGGACTAGAAAGAGAGCATGTTTCTCACAAACGGGGTTCTGTTCATTGGCTCTATGATTGTAGGGTCTTAGTCTTACAGTATCAGCGTAACTAACAGCTACAGTGATCCGACCTGCATCAGTTTGGAGAGGCCTACAGCTCATCACCCTCTACAGAAGTCAGTACCCCCTGATGAGAATTTCAGACTGGCTGATGACCTCAACACCTTCTACTGCAAACTTGAAAGACAACCACTCATACCTCCCATCTACTCACCCTAACCCCACACCCACAGAAAAGACTAATTGGAGTCCTCCTTCCCCTGCCCCTCTGACCCGCTTCCTGTGAGGAAGATGTGTGTCTGCTCTTCCAGAGACAAAGACCCGAAAGCGTCCAGGACCGGTTACGCTAATGCCTGTGAGCCTGTGTCAACCAACCCCCCTCATCTTCAACCGGATCTTTAACAGATCTCTGGAGCTGTGGGAAGTTCCTTCCTGCTTCAAATGCTCCACCTTCACAGGATTACAGTACTACAGGCCTGTCACCCTAAAGTCTGTGGTCACAAAGTTCATTGGAAGAATGGAAATTACATCACAGAGCACCTGCTGGGCCCCCTGCAGTTTGCCTACTGGGCAAACAGGTTGGCCCAGTAGGATGCACTCAGTATGGGATTGCATTACATCCTGCATCACCTCAACCAGGATACTGTTTGTGAACTTCAGCTCAGCCTTCAACGAAGTAATCCCAGACATCTCCATATGAAGCTCACCCAGCTTACAGTGCCCGCCTCCACCTGTGACTGTATCACGAGCTTCCTGACGGACAGGCAGCAGCAGGTGAGGCTGAGGAGCGTTACATCGCACACCCCAGAGGTCTGCTCTCTCCCCACTGCTCTTCTCCCTCTACACTAACGATTGCACCTCAGGAGAGCCATCTGCGAAACTTCTGTTCGTAGACGACAACAACGCCATCGGTCTGATCCAGAGCGATGAGGAGTCCACGTACAGAAAAAGGAGCAGCTGACCTGCAGTCCAATCCTTCATTAGTGTGCACAAACGTGGCCAAATAAAGAGGATTCTGATATAGAGCGCCTTCAGGTGACTAATGTTGAAATGTGGTACGATACAAATACAATTTAAGTGACTGAATCGAGATGCTTGTGAAGTGTGTTTGGAGGACACATGCATCACCTTATGTTTGTGTTTTGTAAAGTGTTACAGTGGGAAACACAACTTCTTATACCACCACTAATAGTAGGTAGTATTCAGATTTTACTGTGACCCGAGGCAGCTCTACATGTGTTCAGTGCTGAACCATCTGGAGAACAGGAGGAGCTGCACGAGGACGCTCTTCGTGGACTGCAGCTCATCATTCAACTCCATGATCCTCAACATCCTGACCACAAAACTGGACCACCTTCAGATCCCCCAGCTGGCCTCAGTCAGGCTCCCCCCGACGCAGGGCTGTGTCCTCATCCCCCCACTGTAGCCCCTGTTTACACATGACTGCACACCAATCCACTCAGCTAACGTCATCGTCAAGTAGGTTGCTGGAGCCATCGTGGTTGGGCTCATCTCTGACAGAGATGACACATCGTACAGGCAGCGGTAGAGAATTGACCCGCTGGTCCTCCGAAAATAACCTGATGTTGAACGTTCTTGAAACAAATGAACTCATCATGGACCTCCTCCGTGTCCTGACGAAGAATAACTAGAACAGGAGCTGCTGCTGGCCTCGTACCGCTCCTCGTGGAGAGCGTCCACTCTTACTGCTTGGGTGTTTGTTACGCAGGGACAACTGCTGAGAACAGGAAAGCTGTGCAGAAGGTAATTAACACCACCCAAAAAGTAATTGGCTGCCCTCTGCCAGTCCTGGAGGATATTGTAAGCCTCTTCTGCCTCAGGAAAACCAGCGGCATCACAGTTGACCCCTTGCATCGCACCCATCCCCTGTTTGACTCGCTGCCCTCCGAACGGCGCCTCAGGTGAATCGGCTCCACCTCCAGACTCACAGCTTCCTCCTCTGGGCCATTCGGATTAGTAACAAACATCCACCCATCTGAGCCACGGTCTGAGTAACCTCATCGCTCGGGCCGCTCACACACTCAGACCAAATCATCTGCACTACTTCCAAGATCTTTCCCACCTGCACTCCAACATGGGCCTTCCTGTTGTTTTGTTTATTTCTCCTGTTTGTTATTTATTCCTGCTGTCTTATTCTATTCGATTCAATGGCGACAAATCACAAACTTGTACATAAAATATTTGTATGTACAGTTCATGCTCAGATTTGTTCTTACACCCTGTTTATAAATGAGGCCTAATTATTTGTCTTCCCTTTATTTCCACATCGTTATACTTTTTAAAATGAGTTTTTAGTCGTCTCATAGATGTTAGAATATCTGTGAAGGTTCTCAGTCATCCAGCTCATTGTAGTCTAAGGAGCTTGGAAAGAAAAGCGTCTAGACTTCTTTAAGTTGCTTGAAGACGTTTCACCTCTGATCTGGATGAGATGACCATAGATGTTAAACCAGGTCTACAGGTGCAGCTGAAGCGGTCGGCTCGTTGGTGAACGTGTTCGGAAACAGTCAACTGAAATTTCTGCTTTGAGCTCAGGATTTACTTTCACCGTTGAACAAGTTTGACTCCATCTGTATCTCACGCATGTATTTTATTATTCTGGGAAATTCACTAAAGAGAATTATGGAGATGCAAATACTTCTGTTGCTTTTGGTGAACGAGAACGAGAGTGACAGGCGTCAGAGAGGATTTTTCCACTGAGACATACTTGGCCCAGTCACAAAAATACGCCACAGTGAAAAATAGCAGGGCCACAGCTTGTGCCATCGAAATAGATGGGACGTGGCCAGCTCTGTTGCCCAGGGAGGACCTTATTATTGTGTTCCCTGCTCCAGGGACATTAATGTGAGTATTCGTTACTACACAGTGACCAAGACCAGGCTAGCAAGAGCAAACACATATCTGATAACAAAATCATATTACAAAATGACCTATTAGGCAGAGTTCTGGAGGCACTTTTAGCCTCCATTGTTAAAATGATAAAACAGCATGCCACTCAGTCTGTAAGAGATCACCATCTGATGAATGAACTCGTGGGATATGCAGGGTTGTTTATTAACCTTCAGAAAGGATGTTTCCCAGAGGCAAAGAAGCAGATAGATTGTGCTCATATGAATATCTACAGAACTAAGGGCCGTTGTCAACATACCTTCAGACAGTGAAGCATCTCTCTTGTTACACAGCAATTGGGTGAAAAACAAATAGGACCTATTTGATGGATTAGTGTTGCCTTAATTAAAGGAATTTTGCCTTTCCATCGGAGAAATGAAAATTTGGTGGCATCTCTTCTGATTTGCAGAAAACTGGATTCTGTGGAAGCTTTTGCTGATTTGTCCACTTGCAGAGACACTGAGTGTTTGTGGACAGCAGCTTTATACAACAACTGTTTGAACCTTAAGTTACACTGTAGCTTCCTCACACTGTACACGGGCACATGTGAGGTCTTTGTCATTCAGCAGCTGATCAGTATTTGGATAATAAATGATTGCCCTTCAAAATAAATCATTCAGGACTCTGTTTGAATCTAAATGGTATTCAGTTTTGCCATTTTCTGGGTCTGTCCATGCTCTCTTCTCACCTCCTGAAAATGTATGGCAGCCTGTGCAGTGGAACAGAACCACCACCTGAGGACTTTGCTTTAGAAAACTTTAGCTGAAAGTCCTCAGGTGGTTTGATATGAGGGATGGTTAAATCGGTAAATAAGCCGACGACTTTCCTCTGAGATTGATTGAATTAAAATGAAACACGAGAGCACAAAACCTTGACATTAGTATCATTTTATCTCACGTAATGCAGAAGTGATTGCAAACTGTGCAAGATCGTATGCTAAAACAAAGCCTTTAAATTCCCTCGTGATGTTTGCACAAACATTAACTGACTGCTGCACATACACACCCAAATATGATTGGTTCT